TTAAATATCTTATTTAGGCATGTGCATCCAGTTTTTCTCATGGTATATATTATTTCAATCTTGAGCCTAAAATTATTTTTGGTACATGAATGATATTTTTGTCTGAAACTTCATGCGTTATATATGGTAACTGTGTTAATTAATTTTGGTAAGTAATCTGTTTGGAGGGAACGATTTTTAATGTCTTGCGCTGGTGTTGGTCAACATTTTCAAATTCAAATATTGTGAGCCGAACCTGTGGGTTCTGTGAGGAACGTCAAACAACATGCACATTATTGAACTTATCGAAATAAATCCTAACGCAGCGGAATCTATAGTTAGGATATGGATGTTTACCTTTTAAAATTTTTGCCGACTCTTAGACGATGTTGAGTACCGTTGATGTAGTTCGTCTGAACGCCACAATCTAATGGGCAGATAGATTTGGCCTTTAGTCGATTCTAATCGATACGTCAAATGAATCTCGGTCGCACGGTGGCTCGATCTCGGTCGTCGGGGTGCAGCGGGCAGCTCGGTCGCAAGCGTCGATCGCGGGTGGACAGCAGGCGCGCGTCGGGCGCTGGTGATGAGGATCGTGTGTTTCAACTGTCGATAAGCCGCTAACCCGCGCCTTGAATCGCCGATAGTGTTTCTCTAGCCACAACCGCGCCTATTGAAACGAATAAAATTGCAATAGTATTCTGGTGAAAAGACTAAAGCAAAGTTGGAAGAACAAAGTTCTAGATTTCTATTGACTTCTTGGATGATTAAGAATAACATAGGGTAAGGGCCTTTATATAGGCACAAAATTATATCTAAGCCTAATCTACCTAGGGATCAAATAAAGCAATAAAATATTAAGTGTCCTAATTATATACTAGTTGGAAACTAATTATCTTGGTGTGCACTCCAAGTCTTCAAACCGCCTCAAGCCTTCGGCCCCTCGCGCGCACCGCCTTTGATGCACCGCCTCGCACGCCCTAGTCCTTAAGGACTAGGGCACCGCCTTCCTCTTCCGCGCGTGCACACCCGCCCAGCGTGTCGCGCACGCCCATGCCGCTGGCCGCCCTACCGCGCATTTCGCTAGGAGTATGGCCTCGCGCATCGCGCGTGCTCCCCCGTCCAGTGTATCGCGCGCACTTTCGCCCCGGCTGCCTCCTCGCGCGCATGCCTTCCCACCATTCCGCACACCTCGAGGTATGAGGATGCGCGTGCTTCCTCACCACGCGAACCTTCCGTGATCGCGCTGGCCAGCACTGCGGCCTGCGCGTCCTGCCCATTTTCGCCATGCACGCCATCCGTGCGCATATCCGTGCGCGGCCCATTCTCGTCTGTTAATGGGCGTACTTCCGCCGTCAACCGTGCTTGTCTCCTGCGTGCATGGTAGGCTCGACTTGCGGCATTCTTAAGCTGCCTAGCCACTTCCGCATCATTCCCGTCCCCTTCAAGTGAGTCCTTGTCCTCAAGGATAAAATTCGGGAACTGATCGCGCATCTCGTCAAGATCTTCCCACGTGGCTTCTTCAGATGGCAACTCCTCCCAGTCAACTAGTACTTCCCAACGGTAGCGCCCTGCTCTCTTTACCTTACGGTACTCAATCACTCGTTTTGGGCGTACTATGGTCCTGCCATCGGCTGCGGTTGCTGGTAACTCCTCACAATACTTTTGCGCTTCTCCTAAGCTCCTCTTGAGTTGCGAGACATGGATAACTAGGTGGATTTG